TCTCTCTCTCTCTCTCTCTCTCTCTCTCTCTCTCTCTCTCTCTCTCTCTCCTCTCTCTCTCTCTCTCTCTCTCTCTCTCTCTCTCTCTTCTCTCTCTCCTTCTCTCTCTCTCTCCTTCTCTCTCTCTCTCTCTCTCTCTCTCTCTCTCTCTCTCTCTCTCTCTCTCTCTCTCTCTCTCTCTCTCCCTCTCTCTCTCTCTCTCTCTCTCTCTCTCTCTCTCTCTCTCTCTCTCTCTCTCTCTCTCTCTCTCTCTCTCTCTCTCTCTCTCTCTCTCTCTCTTCTCTCTCTCTCTCTCTCTCTCTCTCTCTCTCTCTCTCTCTCTCTCTCTCTCTCTCTCTCTCTCTCTCTCTCTCTCTCTCTCTCTCTCTCTCTCTCTCTCTCTCTCTCTCTCTCTCTCTCTCTCTCTCTCTCTCTCTCTCTCTCTCTCTCTCTCTCTCTCTCTCTCCTCTCTCTCTCTCTCTCTCTCTCTCTCTCTCTCCTCTCTCTCTCTCTCTCTCTCTCTCTCTCTCTCTCTCTCCTCTCTCTCTCCTCTCTCTCTCTCTCTCTCTCTCTCTCTCTCTCTCTCTCTCTCTCTCTCTCTCCTTCTCTCTCTCTCTCTCTCTCTCTCTCTCTCTCTCTCTCTCTCTCTCTCTCTCTCTCTCTCTCTCTCTCTCTCTCTCTCTCTCTCTCTCTCTCTCTCTCTCTCTCTCTCTCTCTCTCTCTCTCTCTCCTCTCTCTCTCTCTCTCTCTCTCTCTCTCTCTCTCTCTCTCTCTCTCTCTCTCTCTCTCTCTCGATCTATATATTTCTCCTTCTATCTATCTGCCTATTTACACTATTTATCTCTCACTCTCTCTCCCCGATTGCTTGGATCCCTTTACTTGTATCGCCTCTAATTAAGCTGTGGATGAGGCTACAGAGAAGGTGGCTATGAAGAACATGGTGAGTAATGAGTGGGTGAGAACCAGGCAAGTAGTGAAATAAAGAGGATGCGGTTAGTCTATGACAAGGATAGAAAGGATGAGGTGATACCCTGAAAGACAAGCACAGATTTTATGTGTGAAATGAGCGATAACTTATAAGACAAGCACAGATTTCACGTGTGAAATGAGCGATAACTTATAAGACAAGCACAGATTTCACGTTTGAAATGAGCCATAGCTTGAAAGATAAACAGATTTCACTTATGAAATGAGGGATACTTTGAAAGATGAACACATAATTTACGTGTAAGAGGAGCAACAGCAAATGAAAATATGAGAATTGTATTAGGGTATTTACATCCCTCAGAGTCAGATATTCAAATTAGTGACCGGGTAAAAATACGTATGTAGATTACAAAAAGGATATATCTTGATACTTGATAGATCACGTGTGTCCCCGAACAGACTGTACGGGTGAGTAGGAATAGCCATGTAATAGATTTTTTGAAGAGGTGCAGGTATGTTGCAATTATGTCCCGGTAAGTTGCGACTCTGATTTCCTGAGAAGGATTTTTATTATAATGGTGATAATTTGATACATCATCCTTTTGAGATACATTTTTTTTTTCTTGACAATCTGATTAATTCTTTTGAATCAAGTTGAGAGTGAAAATGTATTTTGTTATATAGGTTTCCTTGAAATATATGCACTTGACACTATACGCAGTTTTCTGACTCAAGTAAACACCTGTATTTTTTGGGAGATAAATGGAGGAGACCTCGTCCTTTTGAAATGTAACCTTTTGTTTCAGTAACCGCCCCCCCCCCTCTCTCTCTCTCTCTCTCTCTCTCTCTCTCTCTCTCTCTCTCTCTCTCTCTCTCTCTCTCTCTCTCTCTCTCTCTCTCTCTCTCTCTCTCTCTCTCTCTCTCTCTCTCCCTCTCTCTCTCTCTCTCCCTCTCTCTCTCTCTCTCTCTCTCTCTCTCTCTCTCTCTCTCTCTCTCTCTCTCTCTCTCTCTCTCTCTCTCTCTCTCTCTCTCTCTCTCTCTCTCTCTCTCTCTCTCTCTCTCTCTCTCTCTCTCTCTCTCTCTCTCTCTCTCTCTCTCTCTCTCTCTCTCTCTCTCTCTCTCTCTCTCTCTCTCTCTCTCTTTTTTACTAGTGCTATGAATATCGATGGTTATTTTTATCATAAACATTATAATTACTATAATGTTATAAACATTATTAACAGCAAAATAAGATAACGTAAAATATTTTCATAAATTAAAGAAAAGGGTAAACGGGCGAGAGAGGCAGTACTCGAAACAAGTGTAGCCATTAAGTGTAAATACAATTAAAGAAGTAAACTCACAATGGGCATGTCACGTATACATGACATCCGGTGTGAATGGGTTAAGGATTCTCATTTCACAGTACTTACAGGGACAGAGTGATAGTCTCAGGTCCACTAATCACATAACTTATTTCATTAATACATATTAATAATTAAAGTATAACCCATTTTTTTTTCTTAAAACCCTAATTCAAATTTAAATAGTCAATGATTGGAAATTCTCTAATTCGTATATATAACTCATTACCAATATTTTCCCAACTATAAGA